CACTTTCGAACAGCTACCAACCATGGCATTTCTAACAGAAAGCCCCCAAATTCACTGATACTTCCTCCATCAAGAAGCAGGGTCTAGGGATTTCCCCTGTTGGTCCAGCAGTTAAGACTCTGAACTTCCACTTCAGGGGGTGAGTCTGAGCGCTGGTCAAGGAAGGTGCAGCCAAAACAACAACAAAAAGCAGGATCTAAGGATCTCCATGGCAGTCCAGTAGATAAGAGTGGACAGTGGGCACATGTTTGATCGCTGGTTGGGGAACCAAGATCCCGCATGCTTCAAGGCACAGCAAAAAATATAAATAAATAAAGCAGGATCTAAGTCTCCTCCCTGGGATCTGGACTCTGTGACCAGTTGAACAACAAAACATGGTAGAAGTGACACTATGTTAGTTTCCAGGCTCAGACCGTAAGAAGCTATCAGTTTCTGCTTCCTATCTCTTGGGATGATTATTCTTGGAACCCAGCCAGCAGGCTATGAGCAGGCACAGGCAATCCACAGAGAGGCCCCAAGAACCAGAATCAATCTGCCAGCCATGTCAACAAGTCATCTTGGAAGCTGATCCACCATCCTTGGTCAAACCACCCCAGCTGACTCCACACAAGCAGAGATGAGTTGTCCATACTCTGCGAATTGCAGTTTCCTGAGCTAAATAAGTGACTAGAGTTGTTTAAGTTTGGGGGTGGCTTGTTGCACAACAGTAAGTAACTGGAACATGACTTTCCCCCCACCCCCCATCCCATTGATTGGCAGTTGCCACCGACACAGTCCCAGGGCAAGGATATAATCAAGGGTTGTTAATTTCAGCACCAGCTACCAAATCCTGGCCCCACTGCCTAGGGGAGGACCTATGAAAGTGCTAGTGGAACTTTATTTTTTGATGTTCTTGAAAGAAAAAAGTTAACAATAAAAAATAGCCAGCTGATTTACCACTCGATTTACCATGTCATGTTACTTGTGAAAGGCAGGGTAGCACAGTGGTTAAGAGCACAGACTGGGGTGAGACGCCCAGGATTGAAATATTGATGAGTCAGCCTCTCTCTGCTCTCATTTCCTCATGCGGAAAGAGGAAGACAGTAACCTCCGAGGCTACCAGGATAAGGAAGGCTGTTAGAAAGGAAGATTTTTTTTTTTTAATGTATTTAATTGGACGATAATTTCTTCACAATATTGTGGTGATTTTAGCCATATATCAACATGAATCAACTACATGTGTACATGTGTTCGCCCATCCTGAACCCCCCTTCCATCTCCCTCCCCACCCCATCCCGCTGGTTGTCCCAGAGACCAGCTTTGAGAGCCTTGCTTCATGCATCGAACTTCACGGGTCATCTATTTTACATATGGCAATATACACGTTTCATTGCTATTCTCTCAAATCACCCCACCCTCACATTCTCCCACAGAGTCCAAAAGCCTGTTCTTTACATCTGTGTCTCTTTTGCTGCCTTGCATATAGGATCGTCATTATCGTCTTTCTAAATTTCATATATTTTGTTTGTTTCTGACAACACAGCATGCAGGATCTTAGTTTCCCAATCAGGGATGTACTGGAGCCTCCTGCAGTGGAAGCATAGAGTCTTAGCCACTGGACTGCCAGGGAAGGCCCTGTTTTTATTTATTTTTTAATAAATATACATGTATGACAGAACCAAAATCAATCTCTATTATTCACATGGCAATGTAGTCAAGTGCTGCAATAATACCCACACTCCAAGGTCAACTCTAGCCACACTTCCCTCCAAACTGAAAAAGCCTGGTATGGAGGAGAACATACAAGCTTAACACTACCACCTCCTCTCCAAATACTATCCAGGCTCAGAAAGCTCATTATAGATGTACTCAGTAGTATCCAACTCTTTGTCACTACATGGGCTGTAGCATGCCAAGCTCTTCTGTTCATGGAATTGTCCAGGCAAGAATATTTGTTGCTGTTTCCTCCTTGAGGGGATCTTCCTGACCCAGGGATCAAATTACCATCTCCTAAATGGGCAGGTGGATTCTTTTACCACTGAGCCACCTAGGATGCCCTCATTATAGATAACAATTGCAAAAAATAAAAATTTTAAAAATTAAGCTCTTTGCCAAACATTCACAGCAACAGCGGAAGACTACTCTCCCTCTGGGCTTCCTTGGCAGTGGGCAAAGCAAGGCTATTTGCAACAACAGTGCATAAGCTGACTATGACAATGCTCATAGAGAAATGAGGATTACAAAGTTCCTTTATTCACATGTAACCAAGAATTATTAAATAATATTCTGAACTAAGACAAAGAAAATTTTGTCTCAGCATCAAAGAAAATTTTCTTCTTCCCAGATATGTTCTTATAAAAATGAGATTTCTCAATATCTCAGATTCTTTACTTAATATTAAACTACTACTGCACAGAATACATTCTCAGGGCTCAAGTCTGAGTAACTGATATTCTGAGATATTTCTAAACACTTTACAGATCAGCAAATATTTTATCAGACTAAGGGAAGCTAATGAAAGGAGGTGGTAGAGAAGAGAAAATAAAAATATGGCTTAAAAAATAGTAAAATCAGGACATTTTAGAAGCAAGGGAAGGCAGGACTATTTAAGACAGGAAGTCAGGGAATGGCTGGGAAGGAGGGCACCCAGGCATCACCTGAGACTGGGCTGCAGAGACTGTTAAAAGAGCTGGCCAGTAACAGGTTTCTTTGACATCAGCAGCTCTAAGCATTTCAGAAACTTCAGCATAGATTGGGTTGAGCCACAGGACAGGGCCTGCAGGAGTATAATCACGCCTCTGACTATGAAGTCCTTAAAAAACTAGATAAAGTTTACCTTTATTCAAGTAGGCCTATCTGCCTGCCCCCTCCTTCTGAACACATGATGGTGCTCCCCACACAAACACACCATTCACATCTTCTGCCTTCATGGCCCATGATTGGCATTACTTTAAACAAGGAAAGAAAACATTTTCAATACACAGTCAAAGGAAAAAGGACAAAAATGCAAAGGTCTGACTAAGGTAATACTGAGCTTAACTGTCAGTTAATCACCTGCCAAGAGGGGCCCAGTCATGCACCTTTGGAGGAGGAGGGAGGAGCTAATGGGTTATTAAGGCCAACTAAGTGTCAGGCCACAGGTTGCAGAAAGTAGGTGGGTGTAAATCAATGTGTAATTTCTAATGTCATAACCTAAAAATATTTATTGAATGACTCAAGAAACAAACCTAAGTAGGTCATCTATCAGCCGGGTTCCCCTGGGTTCACAGAGGAAGAAGTTACAGGTAGAAGAGCATCCGATCACCATCACCAAGGGAGAAAAGTCACAGATGAGGGGAAAGGAAGAGAGCTAAGGATACGGAGAAACTGTACATTTCCACACTCTTGCATGAAAAAGACCAACAAAAAGCAATATTCCTGTTTGTTGTTTAGTCGCTCAGTTGTGTCCGACTCTTTGCAACCCCATGGACTGTAGCCTGCCAGGCTCATCTATCCATGGGATTTCCCAGGCAAGAACACTGGAGTGGGTAGCCATTTCCTTCTCCAGTGGATCTTTACAACCCAGGGATTGAACTCAAGTCTCCTGCATTGGCAGGAGAACTATTTTCCTGCCACAAGGAAGCCCAAGAAGCAATACAGACCAGTGTTAAAATCATGGGACCCAGACTGACTGGGTTCAAATCCTAGCTTTGCCATTTACGAGTTATGTGATCCTGGGTAAGTGACTGGGCTTCCCTGTGCCTCAGTATCTTCATCCATAAAATGGGTAACTAAACCTATTTCATTGGGTTATGAGAATCAGTAAGTGAAGTGCTTGGAATAGCACCTGGCACATGAAAAGTGCAACTTAAAACAGCAATATTACTCTGATTATTATTCTGAGCTGAGATATCTGGCCTGAACCTATTAACTCAGGAAGCCCTGTCATTACACAGAAGTCCCTTGTTCTCAGAAGACTCACTAATGGGAGTATCTCTATCAACAAGGAACATAAGCAGAGAAGAGATTTGTTAGTTCAGAAAACTGATTACCCGGGGAGTAACTAAGTCGATGTTAGGGACTAGACGCCTTACTTCTCTGTCAGTATTTTTCTGGTTATTAAGTCATTCTCTCATCGTAACGTAAGGGGCAAGGGGAGGTGTCAAAAATGAGACAAAGCATAAACTAGTGCATTCTGATCATGCTGACAGTTCAAATGACTTGACTGGTGGAGAACATGGCAACATTAGCTTAGAGAAAACTTTCAGATACTCTCCATGCCTTATATAACAAGAGACTGAGAACAAGAGTAACCCGGAACAAGCATTCACAATAAAATCCCACGATTCTCACAACTTAAAACCTAGAGGAGAGTTTGCTACACTGAGGTGTGTCTGGTGAACATCAGGCGAGCTTGACTTTCCTCAATCAAAACTGGGCTTTGGTTTTCAGGAAAAGTTATTTAGAAACAGGACTACAGAGAATGTATCCCAGACAACATGGAAACAAGGAAAAGGGAATTTTTCTAAGACAGAGAGCAATGGGTGAAGAAATAGAAAATTAATTGGCAGCAGGAGAAGCTTGTTTTCCATTTTATTTTAGAGACTAAACATATATACCATACGTATCTATATACACAGTATGTTTACTTAGGCTGTCTCTCACTGACACCTGTTCTTATGGGTTCACAAAAAAGAAAAAAAAACTAGGGATCCCTAAATTTTTAAGATGGACTTTATAGAGATATTCTGTTTACCTCTATTTGCCAGGAAGAAAGAAGACCTAAACACAGTGAATATGCACTATGTTATCAAGCAAAGAAAGGCATCTGGCACACATCATCTCACTTCATGCTTCATAATAACCCTGTGACTACATATGAGAAAAGCGAAGCAGGGAAATAAGGAAATTGTTCCAAGGAAATACTGCCTAGAAATGACGGCATAAACTCAGGACCCTTTAGACCAGAAGCTCCTGGATGCTCTGAGTACTTCCCGCTACCGCCCAAGGCCTGAGCGTCAGGCCTTTTCACATCCACTTGCCTGAATGTTAACGTCTGCCCACAGAAGTAAGTGGGCGCGCTGGAGTAGAGCACCCCGGACGACTCGGCATCGTTGCGAAGCGCGATGTTTCTTCGACTGCTCAGGCTGTACCCCTCAAAGCCAGCTGTCCACTCTTTTTGAAAAGCAAAAGGTACTGAAAACTGTTAGAATCATTTGGGGAAAATCTTCAACACAGATATATTAAATAAAACTTGGGAGTGGAAGACGTCACCCTTAGGGGTCATGGGCAAGTTCAATAAAAGGAAAAATTCAGTGATAGGGTGTCATGGTTAATCCTCCATATCACAAGATTTTAGAGTCTTCCTGCACATTTGTGGCAAGGAAGATCAAACAAGCATTATCTCCTACTACTCAATAAAATCATGTTTGAGCTTACTCCAACCTAGGAAGTAATTAAAAAATGAGTCTAAACATTTTTAAAAAGTAATACAGGAGAGATCAATGTCAAAGCATAAGACTTTAAAAAAAAAAATAAATGCCTCTACCAAGATATACATTGAAGGTTTGGGTTAAATATTGTAGTCTTCTAATGCAATATTTAAAACTATTTGATTTTAGGGATGTTTATAATTCTATCTGGCACTATTTGGGGACCCTTGTGTGCATGCATGTTCAGTCGTGTCTGACTCTTTGCGACCCATGGACTGTAGCCCACTGGGCCCCTCTGTCCATGGGATTCTCCAGGCAAGAATAATACTGTAGTGGGTTGCCATTTCCTCCTACAGGGGATCTTCCCAACTCAGAGATCAAATCCACATCTCCTGTATCTCCTGCACTGGCAAGCAGGTTCTTTACCACTTGAACCACCTGGTTAGCCCATTTGGGGATGCTTGATAGAAGAATGAACGAAAATTTATCAAAATTCACATGACATAATTTGAGCAGGAAGTAAAAGATGTGTCTCATGTCATTCTCCATCAATTCAGGGTCTATTCTTAGGAAAAAGGGTTGTCCATGTGCTGCCTCTTAGCAAAGAATACAAGTCTTCATACATAGGTAAGCTTCAGGAGCAAGAGGGCAACAGCGTACCATGCGGGACCAGCGTGGAATGACCAATCTGGGGGACACTCCACGGGCTCCACTCCTGCCGGCCGTCTCCTCGGGCGCAGACTCTGAACTGATAATCAACGTGGGGGTCTATGTGCAGTACAATGAATTCCGTCTCAGAGCCTACATATACGTCCTCAAAATGATTGGAAGAACATTTACGGAACTGGAGCCTATAATCTTGGGCGGTAAAGTCGTCATCCACCTGCGGGGGAAAGGCTTTATGTTAGGCAGAAGTCAGAGAGCAACTTCTCTCGGCATAACAGCTGAACTCTGAATGGGGGCTTTCAGGGCTGAGCAAACAGGCCACACGCTGAATATGGGCTGGTCTCAGGAAGGTCACAGAAAATATGACATCATTATTTCCCTTCTTTTCCTTACTGAACTGTGTTTTTGTTTTTGAGTTTGTTTGGGTTTGTTTTTTTTTTGCTGCACTGAGTCTTCGTTGCAGCACTTGGATTTAGTTGCCCCTTGGCATGTGGGATCTTAGTTCCCTGATCAGGGATTGAATCTGCATCCCCTACATTGGCAGGCGGATTCTTAACCACTGGACTGCTAGAAGTCCCTGAACCATGTGCTTTATAACCCCGGTATATGAATAGATCTGCTTCCTTTGAAGTAATGACGTGTTTCCTACACAATAAAGCCCAAGATCAGACAGTCAAAATTCAAAGACAAGCATCTCACAACTACATTATTCATATAACTAAGAGAGGTAATATCTGAAATATATAAAGGACTCTGTAAAATTAATAGAAGACAAAGCACCAGCAAGGGAAATGCATAGAAGACACGAATAAGTGTTTTACAGAATAAGAAATATAAGCAGCTGAAAATATATAAAGATATTCAGCTTAATTTGTAGTATGGAAAATGAAATCAAAACCCACAATGAGGTACTGGCAAAAGTATAAAGTCTGACAATGCCAAGTACTGGTGAAGATGCAGAGTAAGAGAAATGCATACACTACTGGTAGAAGGACACTCTGGGACAATCCCTTTGGAAAGAGTTTGATTATTTCCTGGTAGAGTATAGATCCAATATGCTACCTCAAAGTTTTATAGCTAGGTATATACTTTAGAAAATCTTAAATGTGTATGTAAGGAAGCATGAATAATAATACTTATAGCAAAGAACTGACAGGCAAAAAAATAGAAATAGAATAAGAGTCTTTATTTTGAACCAACAAAAGCATCTCTACGTCTTTCTTCTGTACAAAGGCTTCATTTTTTAAATTTCATTAAAAACAATGAAAAAACATTAAAATTTAATCAAAAAATAAGAAAAAAAATCTTATAACAAAAGTAAAAATCCCATCTAAGAAAACAGTTTCCAGAAGCTGACCACGCACCTCTGAATGATGTATTTGTCAACAGCCAAAATATTATGACTCACTTGGACATGGTTTTTATCTAAAATATGGTAATTTCACATGCATAATATGACTTATCACATGCTTAATATGACTTAACACACAAAATTCTTGGTAATGCTGAGAGTGTGGGGGAAAAAACAAACTTTTGAACTTTTATTTCAGAGGTACTAGTTCAATGTTGAACAGAAAAATATCCAACACCCAACATTCACTAACACCTTCTGACTTTTCTAATAAACAGAAATGGGAGCAATTCTCAACTCACCAAGTTACATTTAGGAAACATGTGATGGGAAATGTTCTGATACAGAGATTTTATTTATTTTTTTTTTTTAATTTATTTATTTATTTATTATTTTTTTTTTTACATGTATTCCCCATCCCGGTCCCCCCTCCCACCTCCCTCTCCACCCAATCCCTCTGGGTCTTCCCAGTGCACCAGGCCCGAGCACTTGTCTCATGCACCCAACCTGGGCTGGTGAACTGTTTCACCCTAGATAATATACGTGTTTCAATGCTGTTCTCTTGAAACATCCCACCCTCGCCTTCTCCCAGAGTCCACAAGTCTGTTCTATACATAGGAGTCTCTTTTTCTGTTTTGCACATAGAGTTATCGTTACCATCTTTCTAAATTCCATATATATGTGTTAGTATACTGTAATGGTCTTTATCTTTCTGGCTTACTTCACTCTGATACAGAGATTTTAAAAAGTACCTTCAAAACTGTTTCTCTCAAAGCAACAGCTAGTTCAGTTCAAGTTCCCTATGACCTTAATTGTGAAGCAAAAGGCATTTTTGTTCACGGAGAGAAGAAAATAGTCAAAGGTAACTAAGAAAAGGCCCCCAAAACTAGAACTCATAATGCTGAAGCTACGTCTACAGTTCTGAATTACATACCTTACACCACCGTACGATGATGCCTCCAGGTTTCTCTATCAGTTCTTCTATTTGTACCGGTGGGCGAGACGCTACCGTTCCATGTTTAAAAATGTGGTCTTTCACTATGTTAAGAATTGAGTCATCCAACTGAGCAGATAAGCAAGGCACATCGACCAGTAAAGGCACTTCTGGTAGGCTGAGGAAAGAAAGCTGATGCTTATGAGACTTTTAACCAAGAGTTAAAAATACAAGGGAGTATAGCTTTTAAAAATTGTTTACCACTATGTCGTATTGGGCTTCCCTGGAAGCTCAATCGGTAAAGAATCTGCCTGCATTGCGGGAGACCTGGGTTCGATCCCTGGGTTGGGAAGATCCCCTGGAGGAGGGCATGACAACCCACTCCAGTGTCCTTGCCTGGAGAATCCCATGGACAGAGGAGCGAGCCTGGTGGGCTACAGTCCACGGGGCCACAGAGAGTCAGGTCTGACTGAGCAGCGAAGCACAGCACATGTTGTATACCCAAAATGCATACAACACTGTAAATCAACTATACCTCAATCCTTAAAAAATTAACAAAGAATATTTTATTTTTCATTTCACCTATTTATTTTTCGGCTGAAACATGTGGCTTGTGGGATCTTAGTTCCCCGACCAGGGGCTGAATCCAGGCCCTCAGCAATGACAGAGGAAGTCCTAACCACTGCACAGCCAGGGGCATCCCAACAAGGAACATTTTCAATCAGCCACATGCTATAAGGGTGCAAAAGCCGCTGGTAAATAATGCTAATGGCAGTGGGGGATGAAAAGGGATAGGATCACGTATGTCAAAAGATTTGGTTTACTGAGTTGTGACTCAATTTTCTTCGTTTTAATTGAAGTACAGTTGATCTACAGCATTGCATTAATTTCTGCTGTATGGCAAAGTGATTCATCTATACATATGACATGCATTCTTTTTTATATTCTTTTCCATTATGGTCCATCACTGGATACTGAATACAGTTCCCTGTGCTGTACAGTAGGACCTTGCAGTCTGAGCTATGACTCAGTTTTAATGAAATGTCCAGAATTTTAAAAATTTAATGATTCTCTTACACATTAGGATTGAAGAAAATCTGTAGTAGTTCTATTTCAAAGATTACAATCTCGACTATTTCACACTGGTAATACTGGTAATGGGCAGTGAAACTTTGAAAAATATACTCTCTATCTCCTTGAATCATAATTTTTAACAAGGAAAAAGAGGAAGAGAGAGAGAAAAAAAGAAAGAAAAGCAGTTTAAGCCCAAGAGACACGAGCTCTCACCTGTCCAGCTGGATGTGCGAGGCTTTCTTGGTAAAGCTCCAGAGCTTTTCATTCTGTTCTCCTACACCTCCCTGAATGGCGAGCTCACCTACAATCAGGGATAAGAGAACCAGTACAGGAAAAACGGTCACCTGTGTTAGGTGGGTCTCTGCGTCTCTTGAAAACGATTCTTACGTGATGTCACAAATTCCCCAAAAGCAAGTATAGAAACTATTTTAGAAGTGACTTTCAAGTGAAACACAGGGGAATGGGGTACACAGTGTCTGCATTCTGCCAGAGATGAAAGATCCTGCTCTGCAAGTGGAAACCTGGTTTATCAACCAACTGTATGGCCAAGTCCCCAGGGACCCCGTCCTTCCGCAGCCCTAAAGAACACTACCAGAACTGTTTTCTGTCTCACTGTGCCCTGGAGTCATTCAAGTGTTTTGAGACCACATAACAATGACCCTACCCCTTACCAAAAGGAAAACGGAGGCATACTAACACTGCTTCAGAATCCTCAAAATTCCATAAGTAAGTTTTTATCCCTTAGGAAGGGAAAGGAGGAAAAAGTTTGAAATTTAAAAATATTTCTGAAGTATTAAAAAAAAAAAATTAGCAGCAGATGCTGTAACAAACATGTATGTGCCTCAAAGGATTTATTTTCTAAAATAAAAATACTGGTTAGCCTCATGGTGATGGGTACACACTCCTGACCTGCGTTGAACTGCTGCTGAGTTTGTTTCCAAATGTTGAGCCCCCAGGGAAAGACATTCTGCAGTCCTGCTAAAAAGAATTTTCTCAAACACACTGTTATGGTCAGTGGCAAATAAACACTTGTCCTTGAAGAGAAGATGGAAATGGAATCAGCATGTAAAGATAACACTAGTACTATATTCTAAGTGAGACCAGAAAGGGGACTGACTTCCAGCTGAAATGACAAACTTGGGAGCCATACACACTTTTTATTCTGTGCCATGCACAGCACTCAATGAAGAATGGACGGCATTCAGTCTCCTTCCCTGGATCCTCTGTCCTTAACTGACCTCTAAATGTTGGCATCTCTTGGAGTCCCACCTTCTGCAGCCTTCCCATCTCATATTGTACCGTCCCTTTTTTTTAACCGAAATGTAACTTTTACTTTAATGTTTTCAATGGAGAAAGAAAGATGGGTCTTTGAAAATGTCATAGTTCAGGTAAACCTAAATTCTAAGAATATTAAGAGTGACCCTGAACTATCTGAAAGTACAGAGATGGGGTGGAAGGTGGGAGGGAGGTTCAAGAGGGAGGAGACATAAATATACATACCTATGGTTGATTCATGCTGATGTATGGCAGAAACTAACACAATATTGTAAAGCAATTATCCTCTAATAATTTTAAAAAAAGAAAGTACAGAGAAAGAGTGGAAATATGAACATCTCACAGAGTCATTTTAATCATATTGTGCTATCTCTTGATGACTTTACTTATTCCCGTGGATTCAGATGTGGTGTACACACTACTTGCTGCCATAGTCACATCTCCAAGTAGAATCTTTCCTTAGCATCACACCCACATTTCCAGCTCCTGATATCTTCAGCACTTCAAGCTCAACATACCCCGAACCAACTGTCTAACCACTCACCCTCCCGCTTCATGTCCTGAGTCAGTCAATGGTACAATTCACCAGTCATCTAAAACCACACTGGCCTGGGTCATCCCAAACCGTTCTCTTCCTCCTCCACCCTATAACCGAGGCAACCACCAACAGGAACAGCTCAGTAAAATCACCAATCATTCTACATCCAAAAAATCTTAAAACCTGCTCTGCTTCACCTTCACCTGTCACTGCCTTTGTCATTTCCTATCTGGACTGCTGCCATGGCATTCTCATCAGGCTCTTTTTAGTTCTTTAAAACCCCTAATACAGTTTCTGAATTGTGAGCAGTGTCTTTTTTTTTCTTTTTAAATGTAAACCTGACTGTGTAACTCTGTTGCCTAAAAGACTTCATTCAAGACCTCCCAGATGTGCCATTCACTTTATTCTTGGCATGACTTCTGTTTCCAGTCTTGCTGGGAATGCCTTTTCTTCCTCTGCCTGCTTGATGAATTTCTTCAAGCCTTTGTGGAAGTTCTCCTGTTGGAAGCCACTCCAACCTCCTCCAGAGCTAAGCATTTTTCTTTCTGTGCTCCCATGAGGTCTTAGATCTCTCACCACGTGTGCCTCTCTTGCTGGCCTATGAACCCCAAAGGGCAGAACCAGTATCTTTTTATTTAATGTACCTGACAAAGATCTACAGGAGGGAAGGAAGGAAGGAAGACAGACAAGGAGGCAGGAAGTCAGCAAGGGAAGAACCGGGCATGCTTTAACCAAAGTAACTGACTACATTCAGGAGTAACCACTACAATCTCAGGAGTAAACACCAATCCTACTCCTTAACCTTCTAAAAATAACAGTGGAATTAAATCCTATAAACTGTCAACACTCCGAAAAGTATGTGAACAGATTCAAAATGATCACAAAATCGCTGTGTTAACCATGAACGAGAGACTTATCATAGAACCATGAGAAAGATCATTTACTCTGTGCTTTGTAAATGATTATAATTAGTACATGAATTGCAACTCACCCTAGGATACCTCACTGTACCCCTGTTATCCTATTATCACAAACTTTCCCAAGGTGCAAACAGCCTAAGCACCCAGAGACAGCAGGAAGCCTGCTGGTACCCTGGGAAACCAGTACAACGTCGACTGGAATGGGCCGCGTTTAACAGGCTCCCTGGACTCCCACCTTCTTGGACTAAGTCCTCTGCGGTGTTAACTCCGTGTTCTATCAGCTTCTGGCAGTCATCTAGTGGTTTGATGGTCTCCTGCTCAATGGTGTCCACCTCTTGCAAGAGGGTCACCAACCGCTCATCCAGGAGCTTTGCAAGCGTTCCCTTTAAATCATTAAAATGCTGTTTGAGGACATCTCTTGTCTGGGATGCACTCTCCTTGATCTGAAAAAAAATAACATAAAAACTCAGAATCTCTAGGAAAGGCTGATCCACAGGCATCACTCATAATAATCTCAAGGCACTACCCCAACATCACCTTCCAGTCATTGGTAAACCAAATGCAATTCATCTGTGCAGACTTGCATAGCATTTGCCTTCAGGTGAGACAGAACAGCCTCAAACCCTGGTCCCATCACTCACAGGCTATGTCAATTGGATTAAGTTATTAATAATTAAACACACCATGGCTCAATTCCCTTATTCATCAAATGAGTATAATTATGCTCACCTGATGGAGCTGCCTGTGGATTAAATAGTCTATGTCCTACACTTGGTAAAATAAATGGCACATTGTTGTTTTCAATAAATAAACATTAGCAGTAAGTATTATCTGCACAAAACAGTTTTTGGAAATAGTAATGTTTCAGTGCCAAATAAAAAAGTCAGATTAGGAAGAGATTAAAATTCATTATACTGGAACTTCCCAGGCAGTCCAGTGGTTAAGACTCCAGTTTCCACTGCAGGGGGCATGGGTTTGATCCCTGGTCAGGGAACTAAGATCCCACATGCCACGAGCCGGCACGGCCCCTGCCAAAAAAAAATCCATTTCACTGAAAGTAGAAAAGAAATGATAGCTTAAAAAAGCACAATACAAAAAAAAATCACTTTGTGGACAAAATGCCCTCATTATGGTAAAAAAAAAAAAAAAACAACTAAGAATTTATTTATACTCCAAAAGGTTCACAGGAAGCAGAAGATGTTCAAAGCACACCTCTGGGACAATGACGTCATCCTCTTTGAGTCATGGTCCTCTGTGAATTTCAATAAGAAGTTTACAGACCTTTCCAGAAAAAATGAATAATCCCTACCAAAAAGAAACGGATTCAATTTCAGAGATTCCAAAGTCCCTCAGATCCCAAGCACTGCTTGCCCAGAGCAGTAACTCTGAAACTTGGTTTGTAGAAGAATCACATATCAGACAACCTGTTATAGTTTAGATGGCAAGGCTCCACCTCAGAACAAGCTTCAAGAAGGGGTCGGGGGAATGTACAGGCAGAGTCCTCCTTTTTCACAAGCACATCTGTGACTCTGCAGCCCACACTTTGAGACACACTACCCTCGGTCCACAGAGCCCAGATTAAGAATGGCTGTTCTAGGAGATACAACAGGAAAATCCTTGTATCTCACAGATATTCTGAAAACAAGTCAGCTGTCTGTACAGACACCAGCTTTTCTTTTTAAGTACACAGATAACACACAATTCACCTTTTCTCACTTAACATGAAAATTCTAACTATAAGAAAGTCAGCTGAATTAAAGCAAACTCACATTTGTTGTTCAGTCACTAAGTCATGTCCAACTCTTTGCAAACCCATGATTGGCAGCACACTGGCTTTCCTGTCCTCTCTTATCTCCTAGAGTTTGCTCAAATTCCCGTCCTTTGAGTTGGTGATGCTATCTAACCATCTTCATAACGAAGTTCATACTGTACTCTGCAAATATTATATTAATTTCCTAAGACATATTATGTTTATTACCCTAACCCTTTGCTAACTTCATCTTAGAAAGAGCATTTGGAGGCTAAGAAAAATCCACCAAGAAAAGAATGTATCAAAATATGGATAAAGCCCAATATTTCAACAGGTAGCAGAGAAATTCTGAAAACTTTCTATTTATTCTCTAACACTAAAACTGAAAACCAGAATACAAAATTGTTGCCCAGGGCTTTCCCTGGTGGCTCAGGGGTAAAGAATCCGCCTACCAATGCAGGAGACACAGGTTCAATCCCTGATTAGGGGAGATCCCACAGGCTGCAGAGCAACTAAGCCTGTTCGCCACAACGACTGAGGCTGTGCTCCAGAGCCTGGGAGCCACAACCACTGAAGCCCGTGGGCCCCAGAACTGTGCTCAGCAAAAAGAGGAACTACTGCGCTGAGACGCCCACCCACCACAACTACAGAGGAGACCCTACTCCCCAAAACCAGAGAAAAGCCACGGTAGCAATGAAGATCCAGCACAGCCAAAAAAAATACATAAAACCATTAAGAACAAAAAAGTTACCCAGAAATGCTCACGAGCATGTGAAAACAAAAAAATGCCCACATCTAAGGGCTACAAAGAAATACGGGTGCAAAAATGGTTTGATTGGCTGGGGAGATCACAGAAACAATCTCTTCTCCTTTCAACATTAATGTAAGTTACAATAGTATTTGTGCAGTAAGTGAAAGACTTTCTTAAATCATAAAGAACAAAGAAATTCTAACTTAAGTTTAATTGCTATTAATCTCTGTAAAGTTACTAGAGAACTTCTAAATCCAAGTCGAAGTTTAAAAAATGAGAGGGTTATATTAAAAATGTCCTTGCTTTAGCACATCACCCAACCGTGGGATCAGGTGCCTGAGAATCAGGCCCTAACATACATAAAAACTAGCAATTAAGTGTTGTTCAATGCAATTAAGTCAATCGTGTATGTGTGTGTTAGTCACTTAGTCGTGTCTGACTCTTTGTGACCCCCATGGACTGTATGTAGCCTGCCAGGCTCCTCTGCCCACGGGATTTCCCAGGCAAGAATACTGGAGTGGGGAGTCATTACCTTCTCCAGGGGATCTTCCTGACCCCAGGGACCGAACCCAGGTCTCCTGCATTGCAGGCAGATTTTTTACCGTCTGAGTCACCAGAGAAGCCCCATGTATGTGTTTAGGACCTTTCAAATAGAACCAGGGAAAGAATGCCTTAGGATTTTGATACATCTCACCTGGAATATGGTTAGAAATGGAAAATCTCAGGTCCTAAACAGAATTATTGGATCAGAACCTGCAACGGTAACAAGGTGATTCACACAGACCTCACAGATACCAGGATAAATGAAGACGACAAACTGGAGCTCTGAAGTACAGTTCGAACCGCCCCCCCACCCCCCCCCCAACCACCAGCAAGAGGAAATTCTGCAGCCGAGCGCTGTACCAGCAAGGTCCTGCATCTCTCCCCAACGGATACCACACACACAGGAAGTGCACTGGTTAGGTAAAGTCAGTTTCCTCTTTAGAAAGAACTCAAAAGCTCCTGCTGCTGCTGCGAGCCCCACTACGTTTTGTTTTGTTTCAGAACCTCAGAAAAAAAGGAAGTGTTTGAACACAAAGCAGTGAGAAGGCAGTGAAGGGAGAATCCATTTCCAAATTCACCTCCTGTCATTTCATTGTAAGTGTGACTCCTTTTGGCTCATAGACTCCAGACCACCCCTGTTTCAAACTTGACATTTGCTCGGCACCACTTTCTTTTCCCAGAAATAGCTCTTAATTCAAAGCTACAGTCACCTTTAATCGAATCATGCAACTAACCAAGGTCATTCCTTGGACTTTTATACAACTTATTTTAAAATACGGACTTCACTGCTGAGTGAACTTCTTGATCTCTGATGTGGCACCAGGGTCCAATGTGCTCACTGATAGCTCGTTCACTCATCCCAGGAGGTGGGTCTGTATTGTCTACATTGAAGAAAAAGCTCAAAGAAGCCAAAAAACTTCCCCACAGCCTCCGGGTGCCAGAAACAGCATGACTCAAAGGTTCATGGTCTGTCCACTGCCCCAAGCTGCTTAGTGCGTACACACCCCATTTTGTTTATTTTTAAATTATTTTTTCATCTTTGGCCATGCAGCATGTGGGATCTTACTTCCCCAACCAGGGATCAAACCCACGCCCCATGCATTTGAGTGCACAGTCTTAACCACTGGACTGCCAGGGAAGTTCCCCAGAACCCATTTTAAAGCATTCTGGTAAACCTGTAAGTTATGTGATTGGTTGAAGACATTTCCTGCTGCAATGTGTATTTCTCCTCCTTGCATAAAGAAAGGTGTGGCAGACAACCACTCAGGGCAAAACAACTGTTACAGTTTGTAACAAAGTAAATTTCAGAAGGATACAAATGATATACAACTCAAGATCTCAAAAAGGAAATGTAATATACATTATTTATATTGATTAACAATATTCAGAACCAATTTTCTACTAAAACTTCTAGTATAACAGACCGTTAAAACTTAGAAAGTTTCCACTGCAGTTGATTCTAATTCCAAAGCAACTTTTAAAGTTTTAACAGAAGTTCTCAAAAAGTCAATAAACTTATATAACAGTACAAAGCCATATAAAAGCTAGTAAAAGATACTTGACAGCCCTCCAAGACAACAGAGACTGATAATGATTTTCCTCTAGAGTTTAACTATTAAAATATCATAAAGCCTGTGTAGAATATGATTTAAGACATCTCTGGTCTTAAGTGGCAATATAGAGTAGCTCTGTCTATAACATAACATGCCTGTGTTTCAGGAAATGAAGTAACTGGAATCTCCTCTGAACCACAGATTTTCATGACTACAGAAGAAAGAATTTTTATCCTCCAACTTTAATCTAAGAAGTTATGCTCCCAACTGTTTTGCTTATAGGAAACTAAAATTATTAGAGGCTGGCTTTAAATACTATTAGCTAACAAGAACATAGCAATCAAAAATAAAAGACAAAGATACAAAGTAGTCAGCTGAAACTGAAGAAGCTAACCAAAATGTTTCTTCCGGGTTCACAGGAAATGTACTGCATTAGCCATGTCTTTACACTAATACCAAGACATAAGTCATTAAAAATAGTAGTAATAATAATGGCAATAATAACAATATAGCAGCCGCTCCCACTTACTGAACATCCGTGTACCAGGTACTTATACCCATGTTCTCACTTAAATTCTACCACAACCCTATGAAGAAATCACCTGTAGGTGAGTGACCTATAGGAGTCAGAGAGATGAACTTGCCCACATCACAAAGCCAATCAAGTGGCAGAAAATCTGAACTGTCTGCTTCACGTATGGACTCATAAGCACTGTTACATTTCCTTCTTGTTGCTCTTACAGTTAGGCTTTCTTAAAAAATGCTTACTAAACTTCTATTTATTTATTTATTTTTTACTAAACTTTTAAAAGGAAAACTTTACTCTATGATTTGGCAGTCTACTAC